AAGTGAAGCGATTGTAAACATTAAAATGTAAACATTCTGTTGTGATGTTCTTGACACTACAGAGCATTCTCCACAAATTGCATATGAAACATTTCATGKAACCCACCTATACCTCAATGGCTTCAAACATCTAATATATGTGATACACACTGCAATTCCCTGCAGCTTCTCTACCCCTTGATGATTTGCAGAGTAATGGTTAATTGTGATGAACAAATAAAAAGCCCCAAGCATGTCTTTTGACATAGATACTATTCTATGGGCTCCTCAAAATTTATTCTTGATGCACACCAAAAAGAAGAAAGTCAGGGCTRTATATCCAACATGGTGGGGTTCAAACACCTGCGTATTTACACCCCAAACTAGCAAACAAGCATTCAGATGCCTAAGATGGGACAAATTATTTCCTCCAAACTCTATTAATTTATCTTGCTCCAGCCAAGACACAGTGAAATTTTAACTGTGGAACTGCATCAGCATAATCCACTTCTGAGTTTTGATTCATATTCTGTTATAGCCCAATCAAGTTTCTTCTACGTGTTCTGAAAGCTATTCAGTGATCCTTGTTAAAAAGCTGAATGCCTCCACTAACTATTAAAAAAATTATTTTCTTAGTTCCCTTTTCTTCATCTGTTTCTATAGTCACAATTTCCTTTTCCATATTAATACCATTTATAAAAATTATTGTGAAAATAAGAAAACTAATTATTTTCCCCCTTCATTTATAAACTGCTACTCTTGTAGCAAATTATTTAACTGATTTGGGCTGCAGGTGCTTTATTCTAACATAGAGTTACTAGAGTTTTGTAATGAACTACAGATAAAAGCAATTAAAAGTGTAATAACTGAGGACAGCCACACCAGGAYTGTGGATTACTTCCACAACTATCAAGTCAGGATAGTGTCAGTATKAACTCAGCCCAGTTTAAAACCAGTATATCGAGAAACAGTTAATTGACGGAAATTGTTCCCTACTTTTACCAGTGCAAAAGAAAAAAAAAATCAAGTCAACTATGTCCCTTTGTTTTAACAATAACAGCAAATAAAATAGAGTACAGAATTGCAATTGCAATGTGATGTAAAAAATTTATTACATTTACACAGGAAATCAATAGAAAAAAATTCTCCAGTCTTCTAAAGCCTCAAAACAAAAGGCTTCAAAAAGTCTTAACTTGTATGATTTTCTAGCAGTAGATAGCTGTATGATCATAAAATAGATCTATGCATGGAAAACATGAAGAAACACAAAATATCACAAGGTTTAATATTTGATCCTGCCAGATGCCGAACTCTCTGGCCCTGGCCCAGCAAACCATTTAGGTATGTGGTTAGAAGTCAGCATGCATGTTGCCCCACTGAAGCAAAGGAGGTTATTCAAAGTTTGAGCACAGTTAAGTGCTTTGAACGATTGGGTCATTAAAGTACCAACCACTTACTGCCAGAGTATAAAGCTAAATTGCTGCTATGAGCAGGTTGTTGCAAAGCTGTCCATTATGAGGCTTACAAACGCTCTTTGAAGTGTGCTTTGAAGCATTTCTTCACCACTGGATAAGAAAAAAAAAATAAAAAGATGGGTCTGTCTGGGTAGGAATTTCCTACATTCCCATCAATTCACTTTCATGTGCAAAACCAATCTATATCGATGCACAGGTAAAAGCATCACTTAGGGAAATAGAAAGTGCTATCAATGATAATGATAATTATATAATGCCACTGCTCTCCCACCACACATATACACCCCATTAGACCCAACTTCCTCCCGTGTGCAGGGCTGGCATCGACTCAACTTGCCATGAAAAGGGTAATGTCAKGCAAATGGTAAATGCTACATGTCATATTTAACAACATTTGAAGTTCCTTGGTGCTTGATGCTGCGTAATGGTACTGCCTGGTAAAACAGGTGTTATCAAACAAATGACTTTTTTTCTCTCAGCAGTAAGGAGAACTTGCAATTTTATCTCAAAGCCAGGAACAAGGCTAGTTATAAAAGCACATTTGTAGCTTTTGTTCTGACAGTTGGGGTAACGTGCGTTCACTGATACATACAGAAATCAAGGCAGGTTTGTAGTGCTAGTGGAAGCATGAGAAGTTAAYTTCTCATCTCAAMCCCAKAAACAAAATCCCTTTCCTTAACTTTGGTGACTTCCTCAAAGGTGTTGTAACAATTGTGAGAAAAGTAAAATAGACTGCCATAAGCCTAGTTTAATTATGGATTTCTATACCTAACAACATACCTGTTCCAATCAGGTCTCAAGAGGTGATTCCACTGCCACTGGATTGGGGTTTTGAGTGGTTGGTGGGGTGGGKTTTTTTTGCCATAGACATGTGAGAGATCAAGAGCTACCTTGTGTTCACAGATGGAGAACCTTTTGTTGTTGTTCAAAATTCTGGTGCTCAGGTATCAGAGTTACTTTGGATAGAAATATTGATCTGTGCAACAACTTTCAATGTAGMRAGAAGGAATASTGCTATGGYAGCACATTAAGGCCTGTGTCYTGAAAATTKGCARTTGTAGACTAGAAATGGTTCTGTAAGGGAGCAGGAACAAATCTCTYGCCACAGGGCTTTCTAAAAATGGTAAAATCATTGTTARAAGAACAAGCATTTGATCAGTGTTATGTAACATAAAGTTGCTGTCTGTCAAATACTGAGACCTTGGYGTAATACCCCTTTAGTTGTGGCTGTTCCCGAAACAGTTGAAAATCTCATCACTTCAGAGCTAAATGCTGCTGATTGACTCTCTTTCCAGTCTGTCCAGCTGAAAATGCATGGGTTGTTATTCTCATATTTGTTAGTTCTGGTATCACCTTGTCCACTTTTGATGAAGGCAAAAAAAGCAAACTGCCATATCCCTACACAGTTGTTCAAGATCAGACCAGCTATTGCAGCTGTCAGGTTCTGTCAGKGAGAAGCCAGGCAGTGTCAAACTGTATTTGAATCCTCTGTTCAAAACAAAGCAGAAAATATAAGAACTGACTTCTTTTAGGTTATCTGCTGGAAACAACTTATGGGATGCAAGGATGGGTTTGCATTTGGGTCAGACATTAAGAATATTTTCTTTTTCTTTTTCTTTTTTTTTTGGTCCAAGTGCAACCAACTTTACAGGAGAAAAGTGTTCTTGGAAATGTGGGAGTCTTGGGCTATAACTGAAATTGTTCTGTTTGGCTATGGCTTGTCTCCATGGTTTATAAAACTCAAATATACATGACAAAAATAGACACAAGTGAAAGTACATGAGGAGGAAGTAAACACATTTGACCTCCACATATGCCAACYAAAAGCTGATTTTCAAGTGATGATGATATGGGAGAGATGGGACAACATGATGCAAAGCAGACCTGAGTAGATTGGTGGAATATCAGCTGACATTATCCTGGTGRCATGTGGCCTTTTAGAACATTTTCCATCTATAAACTTTAAAAATATGCATGAATCCAGAGCCTTTTTTCCCCAGTGATGTTCAGATTACTAAATGACTTGCCAGGGAACACACAGCAGGTTAATGGTGAAACTATTGATCCAGGTCTCTACTTGACTCTGTCCATTGGATTACAGAGGTGTTTCTCAGACTTCCCTTTTGGATCATTCTTTGATTGGAACATTTGTTCTTTCCAATATATTTCACCTTACAAACTGGCCCAAAGTTAATGCATAGATTGACACAAGCATTATCAAGATCAAAATTTACACAACCATCAGTTTTGCATGGTGAATACACCATATGCCATGTGAATTATCATTGTTACGTTATTATCAAAAACATTTTTGCATATTARACACATTTAGTATATTAAAATTGGATTACCAGTGAATTTCATCAAAAATAAATCCCCACTGATATACAGGAAACTTCCAGCTCCAGCATACTAGGGGCAATATTCCATGAGCAAAGACAGTAGGATGAAGATGAGCTGCAACTCARACTCTGTGAGAGGCCAGCGTTAATGATGTTATTGATGGTATYGAGCTAGACTTTCAACTTTTGAATTGTCTTGAAGGAGAGGCAAAGAGAAGAGTGGAGTGCAACTGGCCCACCTGAGCCTGCTCTGGTCTCAGTAGTTCAGTTAGGCACAGATATAGACATATAACTRCCAAGTTTGGGGGCAATTTCTAGAAAAGCAGAACTCCCTTATCTTAGATGGTACATGTGAACTGAGCAGACAGATTATAGCACTTACTCTTGCCTTGAAAACTGTGGAGTTTGGAGGAAAAAGCTCTACAGCACCATAAGGGCACAATCAGTCAGCTCAGAGATAAAACCACTTTCATCTCTTCCTCTTCAGTCTRCATCACTAAAGTGAAAAGCATGGGTCTACTCTTAATTAGGCAGACACAAAAAAGYTAAACCAAGGAATGAGCCCTTATTTTGAGATGACCTGTGGGTCAGGTTTCAAACTGAACCATTTTAAGATCGGAAATTAGAGTTCATTCTACAGAAAGACTGGGTCACCTCTTCACCTAGAATCAATTAGGCATTGCTTGAAYGTGATCAGTGGACTGAGAGAGCTGGAGGGCTCTCCCCTCACCTTTCATTCACCTTTATAAGTCAGGAATAAAAGAGAAAGAMAGAAGTATACACTGTTCAAGTTTGCAATTCACATTGCCTGTATTATTTTGGAAACACTGAGCAGCAGGTAATTAAAATCTGTCCTAAACTAAAGATAGGCAARTATTCTTTCTAATGGTTTAGACCCTGTATGTCAGCATTGAAAGCTCGCARGCTGAAATGTTCTTTGGTGTAACCGATGCTTTAAATTATTTTAATGACTGCCATTTTATATTTTAACTCCTTCAGCCAACTGCAATTGTTCTAAATTTCAACTTTGGCTTTCAATTAGTACATGAGCCACATAACACTCTTCTAGTTTCCTGCTCTGATGGGATCTGCATATTTRCAATTCTGCTTCCCAGTGCACTTGTGTATGAGTCTTCAAAACCCTCTCTGCCAGTAAAACTGAATTATTTGATTGTTCCGAGAAAACGAACACAAAAGGAACATAAAAAGATCAAGCTGAGTTTATTTAAGATTTGGATGAACATCCATGGAACACTGTTAGCATTATATGCCCATCTCTTTTTAACACTGTGGTGGTACAGCATTTTGGATAGTGTGGTGCCTAAGTTAACCAGGTTCACTCAGCATMTTCCTCCAGGGCGGGATCACAGAAAGGTTGTATAACCCAAGTGTRTTTACCCACTCACTTACTGTAAACTCAGGCCCTGCTTAACTTCCTGGAGAGAAAAGAATTAGAGAAATTGTTCAAAGCATTACAAKGTGCAATTTCAATGCAAGACATGATGGAAGTAGCTGTGTGGGAGGATATTACTTCATTATAAACCTAAATCAGATGCACAAAGATTTCTATCATCTCCAGAGACTGCTCCATCAGGCTCTAAAAGGGGCTCTCCAGTAAAGAAAAATAGTTCCCTGTCCCTTCAGGCCTGAGAAAGTTGTATGGCTTTTTTAACAGTTTCTAATGAAATCCCATATTATTGCTTCTCCCCTGGGAGACTTCAAAAGTCATGCAAACTTCACAGAGCCCACATGTTCATAAATCTCAACCAAAAGACCACTAAGGAAATAAATTGCAGCTCTCCAATTAGCATTTGACATTCTCTACTGTTTTCTGGTGGGGTGAATTTGTCTTTCTTCTAAACCATGCTGATAAATTAAATGAGTTACTAAGCCTGGAATTATTTTATATTTTAAGGAACACTGAAATCAAACGCTTCAGCGTGGGACTTGCTTTCTGCATAATATTTGGGGGAGACATGAAACAAACCTAGGCGTTTCAAATATGTTTAAGGGGCTAATATGTACATGAATATTTTCTTCAATCTCCTCATTGTGTATTCACGGCTACTGCCAAACACAACAACAGAGGTGGGGCATTAGGATATGAAATGGGAAGTGGTCAGATTTTCAAAGTGAGCTGTTGGGTGCCGAACACTTCTGAAAATCTGGCCCCTGATTCTTTGGTGTCGTTCCAGAAAGAAATATCTCTATCCTGGCTTTTGTCCAACCAGGTTTGGAAATAATTTTGCACAGTTATTTCAGTAAAGCATAAAAGCCAATCCCCAGCTTTCTCTGCCTGATTAAGCACTGTCACCAATCACTATGCAGCTCTAAGGTACGCATGAAATATTCCTAGATAAATCCTCCATCTCCAGAGAAATGTGTTTCCTGTACAACTGTAAATCCAGGTTCTGTGTTGAAAGTAATCCAGTCTGGCAGTGCTATGGCCCTAGAAAAGTTTCCTTGGAAACAACAGACTTATGCAATGGCAAAGTCATCCAATCTTTTCATGCCACTATATTATATTAAAAACACCTGGTTTATTTATACAATGACTTACAGATCAGRGTCCTAGAAATAATAATACATAAACTTTATAGCAAAAAATATACATATTATAATTCATCCTTTTGTAGTATATAGAAATTATGTCTATTTGTGTGTGGACATATATATAAATATAYGGGTTGTACTTACGTTTAGGGCACTTGTGTATGGACACGTGTGTCCACATACACACTGTATACATTTTTATATCTTTCTAGGTGCCATGTGCGTGTCCTTAGAGACACACAAACACACACACAGGAGCATATTTACACTCTGTGAGTAGKTGTGTACTTTGCAGAATCTGCACACAAACAGCTGGAGTCCTTCACTGGCTGTGAGCATCGAAGGGGTCAGTGACCACCCGCGTTAAAGTCCACGGAAAAAGAACGAACGTCACCGCTGTGGGCACAGGACTGGCTTGATGCACCTTCCTCTGTGAAGAACTAAATTTGCTGGGCAGTGGCAGCCTGCAACACAGGGCTTGTTGCATGGTCCAATTTCATTCCAGTTGTCACATGTTTTGACACATCCCGGACCACAGGTATCATAAACTGCGCCGTGTTTACAYTGGGTTGCTGAAAGGAGTTAAAAGAAACAAAATATGCATGTTACACAGAGCCCCACAAGGAAAGTTACTTATCTGTTTGCTTAGTTTCTACTGCAAATATCCAAAAGCACATTTCGGCATGAGTATTATCTTGGAGGGAAAAATTACTTGCAAAAAGATTCCACTGTATTATATCATAAATATGAAAGTAGCAAAATTCCTTATGAAAAAGATATCAAGTTCYACAGTAGTCTTAAACCTTTCTAGARTTTTAACTAATGGTATATACAGCTTTGGCAAGGTTTCTACCCATATGCTATCTATAGACTGAYGCTTTATCTTAAAGGATTAGCACTATTTATTTATTACAATGCCTTTTATGAAAGATACCTGAAACGTTTACAAGGATAGACAGTTATTATCAGCTCCACTCCCACAGAAAGAAGAGAAAGGAGAGTCATTCACTACATTAATATTTCTGATCCTAATATTTTACTTTCTAAATTGCGTATTGCAGCAAACCACATCAATGCTGTTAMTCCAACAGCACCATTTCCAAAATAAACAAACAAATAAAAATTAAAAATCAATTGCATCCATGTTTTGTCCTGTTTTACCAAGGGATCCTTGATAGTGAGGATTCTTGTACTTAATGATTCCAGCACCTATTCATTAATTTATGTAGCTGACAGTTCAATGCATTTTCAACATAAAAAACCACTGAAGGYTCAGCTAAAAGCACTAAAACCCCTCCAGATCAATATTTAAACTCTCAAAATTTTATATCCTGCCTTTTTAGTATGGAGAATAATACATGGTTTGATGGCAAATAAAAGTCTGTTTTTCTTTTTAATGGCTGTGCTGATAGCAAAAACAAGTACGGATAAAATAGTTCATAGATTGTAGGGGACTCTCAAGCATCCAGAATCATCTGATGCTATTTTCGGAGAGGTAATTTTATTAGAAAGATTTCTTCAACTTTGAGAGAGATTGAAGGTCAAGATTTTTTAAGTAATAGCTTTGTTATAGACAGAAAATGCTGTTTTGTTGTGAGAATTGGCCTACAGTGTCATTACAGAACTGCTATTATTCACAAAGAGAAAACAGACCAAAATAAATCRATAAAATATATATGAGTGTATCAAAGAGGATGGAAGTCTTATTGCTAAGGCGTCATAAATTTAAGGGGTTCATTTTCACCACTAAGGGATCTTCAAAACAGCATCAGCTTCTTGCCAGTTTTAMTTCTTGTGTATTTTATGGAATTTAYGCATATCTGAAAAGCAGTTCCAAAGTAGGAATTATAGCAAGAATGCATACACAATTCTCAGGATACAGATATTAAGAACTAAATACAAACTTATAARAAATGGATAATACAGAGTAAAACTACCTTTGAGTTACAGAGAATCATCAGCTGAATATTAAATGGATAGAAAATAACAGGGGAGAAAAAACTGCAACTTTTCATCTTTAAGCATAAGAAAGCACCAAGAACAACCTACCTAGAAAGTCTGTGAGACATATTTAATTGAACATTATTTTATAATAGGTTGGAAAGAAACCTATGTCAGCTATGTTCAAGATAGGCTTATTCAGTTTGTGGGCATAGATCTTTTGAGAATATTTTTCCAACATTACATTTCTATCTTGCKCTGCATGATAACTTCCATGCATACTAAAGAAGGAACAAACAAAAGAAAAACAAACAAAAAAAATCAAATGAAACAGGAAATTTAGAAGGTGGGAAAAACAAGCAACATTAAGCATAGAATAAAAGGTTAGATTCCCAAGAAACTCTACATAGTGTGTTAAGAATAGAGATTGAATCTCTGTAAGAGGGGAAACGAAAGATCTCCCAGGAGCTTTGCAAACAATGTATTAACTGTCTTTAAAAGTAGACCAACATGCTCAAAGGTGGTTAGTGATTGTCCACACACAACATGAATTATCTTACAGGAGCTGTTTACTAGGAGCTTATGTCCTTCCTCCCTGAAAATGAGCTTCCTTTCGGATGATCTCTAATTGACCAACCAAAAACAAACATCAAACTTCAGTACATGTGGTTTCCATATTGAAATGAATATGAGCTTCAGCTTTAAGGCTGCACAGGTTTCATCCCACGAAGCCTTACAGCAGTAATAGCTGGCTTGCTCCTCCACCTGAGCTCTGTTTGGCTCCTCAGCTGGTGGGTTTGAGGAAAGTTGGCTGAAGTCTCCTTTCCACTTCCTCGTTTCTGCCCCAGAGTAAATGAGAGCGTATTACAGCTTGCCCTYGACAGCCATGGCATCTGTAAGTACTCCACAGCTCTGCTCTACCACACATGGATGTGGAATGTCAAAATACCTYCTTTTCCTTCAGACAATGCCATGTAGAAGATACGATGACTATTTTCTGCTGTAGGCAGCCTATAATGSCATTATTAACATGGTGTCGGGGGARAAATCAGGAAAGTACAATGGCTGCTGTTTAAGTTCCCTGAATGGCTTTTATTGTTGAGTGATTCAGTTGTTAACATGTGGTGTGATTGATCCAGAACATTCCACTTCATCAACAGTTTAAAATRTAAAAATAAAGACATTCTGCAGAAGGCTTCCCAGGGACTGCTGAAGTGATTCACTACCATGTAAACATGGAAAACAGAAGTGGYGTCTTTGCACCCGTCTTTTAAGGCAAATTCCTCTCTTAAAGAACTGAGCTCTGCTACTAATAATTTCCTTAGTACACTAGCAAAAAAACAAATCAAAAACCCAGCCCCAGCATACAAAAGTTACTAATAATACTGTATTTTGAAACATTACCAGTCCCAACAGGATTTTTCCACTCTTCTTCTAGAACATGTGTTTGGCATGACAGATGTGAGCTTTCTCAGACCACTTTCTGAGCTGGTGGGATAATAGCCAACTCCAGTCCAGAAGCCATACAGTCACTTAAATCCAGCACTGTGCCTGAGCTAATAAACCCTGCCTAAACAGGCTACAGTTTGCCTGAGCTAATAAACCCTGCCTAAACAGGCTACAGTTTGCAGACTAGACCTGGTTTAGTCCAGCCATTTTGGCAGTTTCAGAGCGGAGGCTTTAATCTGTCTGCGCCTGTCTTTGTAGACATGGCTGTAATTATTTAGGAGGAACTCTTATTCCCCAACCCAAAATCAAAATACGTAACTGCTGAAGGATTCCCTTGGTTGACAATACTTGGTAAATCTGATTCCACAGAAAATTCTAAACTAGTATTTGAGCATCAATGAATMTTCTGGCTTCTTCTGTCAGTATTACACAGTTTGGAGGCCTTCTGTAGGACTTTGAGGACTTGAACGTTCGTCACTCATAGTGCTTGCAATTCTCAACATCTGCTTCTAACATAGTAAAAGGCAGTGGATCTGGGCACCGACCTTCCCACGATACCCTCATGGTAATGTTTTCAACTTTCAGTTTTCTGTAAGTTTCCACTGAAAAGCCAGAATAGCACTCCTGATACATGTACACATGGAATACAGCAGTTAAAGGAAAGCAACACATAGCAGGGAAAAAGAGTGAAACTGGCCAGAAAATTCTACACCAGAGAAGGAACCCAAAGGAGAAGAGTCAAAATCAGACATATGCTCATTTTCCTCCACTTCAACTAATCACAGAGAAAAGAGAAAATTACTCAGATTTTATGAAACKGTAGTAGCATGTCAGCACATCAGTGCACTTTTCATATTATAGCCCTTATCTTTTTGGGGCTTTTTTATTGCATTTGTAGTCATGCCCATGGCAGAAGGA